TTTGCGTTGTATGGCATTGTGTGATCATATTCTTCATTATAAAATCAGTTTTCTAATACAAAAAGATGTGAGAGTAAATCAAAAGCAGTCCCTTTTTTATGACAATAATAAGACAAAATGTATGATCAATATAAGGGAGACTAGGTCTAGGGCACTTTTTACTCCAGTTCTGAAATGAAGTTTATTTTTGACCATTATAGTTTAGAATAAGACACAGTTCACAGATTCAATAGTGGGGCATGTTGTCACAATATACGAGGTAAATTGCCACAAAGAAACCTGCTTTTAAAATATATTATAGGACATTTGGCAAAAATGTAAACAGTGAAACTATGGAAACAACAAAAATGTAAAGGTAACAGAAATAGAAATCCATTGTTTTCGCCAACAAATGATTTATACTAAATAAGATTATATACATGACATATGAATAGTTAAAGGGGTCATATGATGCGATTTAAATTTTTCCTTTCTCTTTGAGCACAAAGAAGCATTTTTCTCAAAAATACTATGTGACAGATGGCTGCATTATGCAAGAAATTATATTGAACAACCACCCACATGCAGCACTGACAGGGAAAGCACTAACAGGTGTGGTTTAAGCTGCACGATTTGGGGAAAATAATCTAATTGCGATTTTTCTGGTTAAAATTGTGATTTGTGATTTTAAATGTGATTTTAAAAACAAATTAAAAAAATAATTACATAAAAATTAAAGGGGTCATAGGATGCTGCATGCACTTTTACAAGTTGTTTGAACTGAAATGTGTGTTGGCAGTGTGTGTACACAACCACCCTATAATGATAAAAATTGGGGGGAAACAACTCCTGTAGGCTACACTTCTACGCTGGAAAAAAACATGGATTATCATATGTTTACTTCAAATTTCTTTAGAGAGAAGTATTATTTTTCCATTTTCAAAATAGGACTGAGTGCGCATTACTGAGTGCTAAACCCATGTAATGTCTGGCCCTGTCCCAAATGGCACACTTCATGTGCTTTGCGGTCTTGCGGAAATGGCCGCCCCGTGCGCATTTCCATTAAAGGGGTCATATGATGTGATTTCAATTTTTCCTTTCTCTTTGGAGTGTTACAAGCTCTTGGTGCATAAAGAAGATCTGTAAAGTTGCAAAGACTAAAGTCTCAAATCCAAAGAGATATTCTTTATCAAAGTTAAGACTCTGCCACGCCCCCCCTAAAATGGCTCGTTCTAACACGCCCC